GAACTATTTTTTGATTTTTGGAATTGATTATTCACAATAAGGAGACGAAGGAAAACAGAAAAAAAAAAAAACAGGCGAATATCCCTGTCTTCTGTTCTTCTATTTGCAGTTGCCCTTTATATGACTATTGTAGAAATGGTGAAATGAAAAGCTCTGAAAAGTCATGATAAAAATAAAACGCGCGCGCGTGCGCATATGTATATATATAGTTTATAGGCAATAATGGAAACCAGTCTTATATGTAATGACTAACCTGTTAGGCAGTACGTTGTAATGGCTGTGACCACCAGTCATTGTTGTAATGACTCAAATAACCAGTCATTCCGTGTAAAGACTAAAAAATGGGACCAGTTATTTTCATGAAATGACTAAACTACTAAGACAAAGATAAACAACTACTATTCACACTTTATTTCAACTCATAAAAACGTTAATACACGCATGTGCAAGTATTCACACTTTGTAATTGTTTGTGCAAGTCATGGGCAATTGAAACTCTGTTCACACCATTCCTAAGGTCATGAAATACAATTAGGTACCATACAAGTTGTCCTTCATTTGTGCATATGATGGTGACATGTGAATACTGTTCACACAATTTTCAGTTATATATCCCTGCATTTTCAAAAGAGTTCCAAGCTTAGACTTTATTAGCACAAGTCATGCTGGCGTAGGCAAATACTGTTTACATTTAACTTTGTTTTTAAAGCACTTGCATCTGTTTGTTCGACACTTTTTGGGTCCTGCGCAGTTGCATTTGACAAAACCCTGTCTCCACAGTTGATTCAAAGGTAACGGCTTCTCACAGAGATACCATCCTGAGTTCTCTCCCAGAAGGTGCTGAGGGCATAAGGCAAAACTGGTTGCGTGACAGCTTGGCTTTCAGAACTCCTGCTTTGACTCCAATGGTGTACATGTCATTTTGGTCACGGTCCAAGACGACACCGAGAATGTTCCGAGATCACCTCGACCCTATCTACCAGTGGAATAGGGACAGCAGAGCATTATAAGTGGTTCGCCAGCTGCAAGGTCAATTCGCCTAGAGTAGGGTGGCAGCCACCCACCCTTCCCTCCCCACCATCCCTTGCTATAGTCATCCAATAGCACACTGGAGGACATTCGCCATAAGGAGAATCCATGCAGTATCAGTTGATTGGGGCACCCAGTACCCTGGTGTGTAGTCATAGTCTCTACGTTCAGTAGGAAGCCGATAGATCTCTCCTTACGGACACTGACCATCTGTTCTTCATTGACACCAGGGCAATAAGAAGCCAACATGCCGCCCTGGAATGGCGACTCAGTCTCACCCCTCTTCCAGCTTATTTGTTACCTGACTGTACAGATGACATGGCTATATAGGCTTCTACACTGATTGCATGGATGACAAATTGGAAACTTAAGGTAATGGGTGTAATCAGGGTGCATATTTTTCAGCCGTTACACGGAATGACTGGGTATTTGAGTCAATGCCTGAATATTTTAGTCATTTCATGTCATGACTAGTTTCACATATTGCCTGTAACATATACACACATATATCTATAATTGACTGCCGCGATAGCTCAGTTAGAGCACTGGACTCCGACCCTCGTGGTACCGGGTTCAATTCCCCGTCGCGGTGGTCGTAAAATGCCTGCGCTCTGACTGCTACCTCGAGCCCGAGAAACGGCATATCGGCTTGAGAAGTCAAACACAGGTGTCGTAGGGGAAGTCACCGCCATGGCACAAGTGTTAACACGCCGTTGCGCGGTGATTAGGATGGGCATTCAGTCAGGCAACTGCCATATTAACCTCTCAATACTGAATTGAGAGAGGCCTTTGCCTTGCAGTGGAATGATGGCTGTTGAAAAAATCTATAATTGCCTTTAAAAGGGGTAATGGCAAAAGCTATGGAAAATAAAAAAAAAAAACAAAGAAAAAAACAGGATAAAACTGGTTATTGAAAGAACAATAACAAACAACAAAACAATGTACTCAAAAGCAAGGAGTGAAGCTAACGAAATAAACCTTGATAATGTTTGACACTTGGCCATGGCTCGATTAACGGCATAGCCACATCTTGCGCAGGAGCGAATGGCGCATGCAGACTCGCGAACGGCGGCGGCGGCGAGTGTCGAGACCTGAGGTTATGCCCAGCTGTGTTGCGGAACACCACACCGAGAGCGGCCGGTGATCTGCAGTTTGCAGGGTCGCGTGACGATCGTCTGCTGCCGACAGGTGAGGTGACTGGGTCAAATTAGTAAATAGCGTTTTTGTGTTTATCATATTTCATAGTCATATTCTATTTTTTTTCTCACGTTGATACTAGATATATAACAAACTTGAGGTTAAAACATATTCCAGGAAGAAGTCCACTGTGTATTTGTAAATGGCAGTAAAATGTGTCTAGATGTGGAAGACTTTTCATACATTGCATCCGTCATCTTGAAACAAACTCGATTCCTTATTAATATACATTTTTAGTTACACTTATCACTGTTATCGTCCGAATTATCCTTATTACCACCACCATTGTCACTATTTATATTATTTAACATTATATTATTTATCCCTTTAATAATTATTACGTTGTTTTCTACTGTCATTATCGTTTTTGGTCAGAATATTGCAGTGATTAACAGCATGATCATTATCTTTATTATTATAATTGTCATTTGTCATCCTTACCATTATAGATATGATTAACGTAATGAATTATAAGCTTGTTATTAGCATCGCAATCATAATCATAATTTTCTTACATGTAATGTGAGAAAATAATGTAAAGCAAGGTTATGTTTCCTCACACAGGTGGAGGACCAGGCCCTGCGCAGGACATATCTCCACCAGCAGTTAACTTCGGTAAGAAATCGAAAATGGAGCAATGCGTTTGGGAATATATGAGAGAGATGTCCCATTTTAAACTTTTCTATGGTGTGGGTGTTGTGAGTGTAGGATTCCGTGAGATTACAGCAGGATTGAATGGTATTTCAGATTGCGGGATCCAGACAAAGGGGACGGTGCTTCTGTCTCGCGCCAGCTACGTCCCAGCGAACGGCTTTCCGAAGCAGAATTTAACTTTGAGTTGTTCTTGGCGGGAATAAGGGAAAGGGCAGAGGTTGGTGCTTGGCTTGGATGGTGAGGAAAGATGGAATTTACTCTAGAAAAAAACATGCCCTTTTTGTTATAATGGACCTTGAGAAAGATAAAAGCGAAGCTATACATCTTTCGTTTATAGTTATGGTGAGGTTATTCGTTTAGCGTTTGTATTCTATTTATTAAGTGTACATTCCTAAAATAACGGCCATCCGCAGGCTCTTCTGGGCGACCAGGGACGCGGCGGGAGTGATTGATTGGTTCTGCGCAGGAATACTCATCAACGAACAATGGCTCCTGACGGCCGCCCACGCCTTCGCACGGTGAGACAAGTTGATGATTACAGGCTGTGTGCATTTGTAGGTTTATTGCCACTGTATTAACACAGCTTTTACCATTGATAATATATATATATATATTTTTTATACAAAAGAAAATAGCATGAATCCGTTGAAAGTAATGAAGTAATTTACAGTTATGTTTCTTAACCTTAAAATTTAAGGCGAGCTAATGTAATACGCCTTGGAGAACACGACTATTCCACCCGAACGACGGCGCCAACCCCGAGGATTCGGTTTTGCTGCAACCATCCCCTACCCACAGTACAGCGAACCTGAACTTCATCATGACATCGGTCTTATCAGACTTAACAGGAGAGTGACGATACAGGTAGGATGATGTAACGTATGCTTTAGAGTTTATCCAACTATTAGTCGGCCAAGTTTTGCTAAGAATCACAACTTGAGTGAGCTCTTGATTACAAGCACAAGTTGATGACGATCGAAGCTTTACACAATAGTGAAAGCAGCATCAGTTCATAACAATCGCTTTTCCGAGAGCCACAGTTGTTTTCATTGGAAAGTCAACAGTTTTTATAGCAATCATATTTTTAATAACACTTCCACAGCCTTACATCCGGCCTGTGTGTCTTCCATGGGGCGCAGGGAGCAACGTGGACCTTATTGGCAAAACAGTAACCGTGACTGGATGGGGACTCACGCAACCAGGTAGAAATGGAATGAACATTTTTTGGTTCGATTGACTAAGCAATAAATCAAGTTGATTACATAAATTTGCCGAGCAATTTAGATGTAAATTTAATGTACATCCATGTTCACGTTGAATGATAAAGTTTGATCAAGTTGAATTTGATTGTGCGAGATTCCTCTACAAATTTTGATCTAAATTTCAAATGTACATCCACGTTTAGCGCTTCACTGAGTTAGGTTTGACTGCACGAAATTTACCAACGAATTCACATTTAAATTTGGAATGTACATCTATGTCTACGTTAGATTAGAAATTTTGATTAAGTTAAAGTTGAGTAACCAGAGTTGCTTAGCGAATTTATAATAAATTGTTTAGCGCTTCACCGGGTTAAATTTGACGGGACGAAATTCCCCAACGAATTTATATTCAAATGTACATCTATGTTTACGTTCAATTCTAAAGTCTGATTAAGTTAGAGTTGAGTACAGAGAGTTGCTTAGCGAATTTATAATAAATTTGGTAATAAGCTTGTTTGTTGTTTTGACAACATTACTGACAGGTGGAAGACATAGCCCCGTGTTGCAAGAGGTAGGCGTGACAGTGTTCCCGAGCGCAAAGTGTGACCAGGACTATAAGAAACATACTTTCTACGATCGCCTGTGGCCGCAGGCTAGTGATGCAGTATTCAGGTTTGCGCAGGGGACGGAGGCAAGGATGCATGCAATGTAGGGTGTATTATTTAACTAGTGGATAAATACTAAACAATAAATTTCTTATTAATGGTATACATATACATACATACATATATTTATTTATTTTTATATATAATATATATAGAAAGAGAGAGATAATCTGCATCTCTCCCCCAGGGTGACTCCGGCGGCCCCGCGGTGTACTCCGACGGCCGAGGGCGGTTCACGCTGGCAGGGATCATCTCGTCGGGCGAAGGCTGCGGCAGAGAGGAATATCCGGGACTGTACACCAACGTGAGGCAGTCGCAGTACCTCGCGTGGATTAAGCAAGTGCATTCTGATCTGGCACGGGTCCTGGCTTTGAAGTGGAAGAGGACTTGCACGACGATATGTGTTGTTTTGTTTTTTGATTTGTTTGAATGTAAGTTTTAGAATAAAATGATTAAAACTATGTTTTAGCACATTTATTACTTCTTTCATTCCCCCCCCCTAACGGAAGCCGCCTTGCCGCGGTGGGGGGGCTAGAGATCCCAATGATCTGGTGAGCCGGACCAGAGGGCTACCCATACTGGAGGGGTTACCAGTGAGGGATGAGACAAAATGGCTTCCTGGTGCACCAAGGCCTATGACGAGGGGATGGTTGCACCCCACCCTGTTCATTCCAATATGGGGGACCAGGGGAGAACTATCCCACGGTGTCTGCCGTGCGTGGCGTCCCGTATTACCAGGAGACAGGAGTCCTGGAGGTTGAGCGATGCTGCACGCTGCGCCCTGCAGCTAGCAACACGCCTCTTTGGTCCTCTATTCTGTCAGACGGGTGGCTTGACCAAGGCCCGGTCAAGTCAATCGGCTGGTCAATATGGCTAGGGTCAAGCAGGCACTGTTCAGTCGGTAGCGGCATAGGTCCCGCGACTACCATCAGCACTGTAAGGTGACTGCGTATATTTCCTCACTACCCCTGTGGCTGTTGGGAAAATTTGAGCCTCAACTATAGCTTCCCCTCGTGGATCCATGGTGGGTGGGGGGGTGAGGAAATGAAGATTTCTAATTTGTATGATTACTACAAATTTAAAAAGAACTTGCTCTCTCCTAAC